AACTTGGCAGACTTTGCAAGTATAAGGCAGCTTCTGAAATCTCTGTGAGCAACTTCACCCCCTTCTGCTCCCTTCCACTAGGTTTCTTAGCGTTCCAGTCTACACAGAAGCTGTTCAGGTATACACCAACTCTTAGTATTCCAGGGAAATTTGTGTGTAGAACTTGGGGCTCACATTTTGTGGTTCCCTCCTTTCTAGAATTAATTTCCAGCCACTATGAAAGCCATGAACTCTGGGCTCTGTCTCCTGAATTCAGTATGACTGCTACCTTCCACTTAGGCTCTACTCCCAGAATTGGTAAGTATTGGAAATTTCCCTTAGGAGAAAACCTGGATACATATGGAGCTTGCCTAGCATGTGTCCCTTTTTTTAAGGATTATATTCTATCCAGTTTTTGCATGCTTTGGTTGTTCTCCATTGCTTTTGAATAGTTTCCCTCAAGTTCTGTAATGGTTATATCATCAGGAGGGTTACTCTGACATAAAACTATTTTGTCACGGTGGATCTGGCACACTCTTGTATGGATTTAAGTGTACATTGCCCTCAGAAGAGTAAGACAGGACTTTAAAACTTGACGTGATACGGAGGAGGGGCTGGGGGAGGGATGGAGTGGAAGGCTGGGTTAGCAGATGTGAGCTATTATACATGGAATGGATAAACACCAAGGTCCTACTGTAGAACACAGAGAACTCTATTCAGTAGCCTGTGATAAACCGTAATGGAAAACAATATTAAAAAAAGAATGTATAAATATATGTATAACTGAGTCACTTTGCTGTACAGCAGAAATGAACACAACATTGTGAATCAACTGTACTCCAATAAAAAAAAGCTGCAGAAGAAAATTTGACATGATAAATGATTTAGTGACTCAAATAAATAAGAGAAATTACAGTACATTGTGTTGGAATAAGCTTCAGATTCCAGGGTTGATGCCATTTTGAATATGTACGAGAGCTGGACTTTTCGTTCCTTTGGCAGGAAACAGCACTACAGGGCAGCAAACTGTCCCTGGTGTGGAGACGAACTGTATTTGTAGGGCATAACGCTGACACTTGAAAGCACCTTCAAATCTGCAAGCATTACACTTTTGCAATTAATTCCTATCCCGAAGGAATGCATTTCCAGCGCGCGCTTGTCAAGAAGCTTGGGTCAGATTCTCAGAAGATTTGAGACATTTGATGCCACCCAGGTGGCGGGAAGTAGAAAGCAAATATTTCTCTATTAGTGCAGGGACAATGCATAGTGAACTTCTAGAAACATCCCAAAGTGGAAGTCCGTGGATATTTAAAAAATCAAACCAGAAGATGGCACCCTTTGAAAATTTAGCTTTTGGCAAATAAAAGGAAAGAATACAGAAAGGTGTTCCGTCCATTCCAAAATGTCATGCAAGCTGGGAAACGAACAGCATTTTATTAATGACCTGAAATGACATCTTAATGATGGTTTGAGGGATTTTTCTTGTTAAATTGTTTTTGGTTTTGAAAAAATTGGTAACAGGATCTCATGTGCTTTCTGGGAAAGTTGCAGACATTTCACAGTGTTCTAAAGAAAGTTTCAAAGGAAACTTTTTTTGTTGGTGTAAATAACAGGATGGAGTCAGAGGCACCTTTCTTTTCATTCTCTCTTTACTAGGGAAGAATAGCTACTAGCTAAAGAGGCAGGAAGTGATATAAAGCTGTCAGCCCTGAGACTTCTTGTACTAATGTTACATGTAGGGGTAATTGACTTTCTAGCATCAATACCTAGCATTAAGGTTAATTACTTCTTAGAATCAGGAACCAAGACTGGCCAGTATAAGAACTCAGTTAAAATCCTGCCATGTTTAGAAGCTGTAACACACAGAAATTTCTTTTGCTCTGACTCAGAGGGTATTCATATTTTGCATCCATATCTTGAAAATACGATAAGTTCCAAACACAGGAACACAGAATTGAACATTTACTTGGGTTGCTGCTATAGAAAATTGGAAGATGTTTTCTCTCTTCCACATTTCCATATTCCTAGCCTTAACGGTGCTCTTCGTTGACTTGCTTTCTGATGATGGAGTTTCATCTCTTAGGGCACTCCGCCTCACCCACCATTTTTCCGGGACCCAGGAGAAAATTTTAAAAAGTAATATGTTGTTCCCAAATTTTGGGAACCCACCCTCTCAGTTTATAGTCTTCAGATATCCTTCTCTGCCCCCAGGAATCCCTCTGGCTTTGCTTGGTCTACTACCAGCACATTGGAAAAGAGAATCTTAGTTTCATTATTATTCCTTCTCCAAATAAATCCACGTCCCTTTCACCCAAATACCTACCTTTGTTTGTTGCCAGGGAGCAAAGCATTATTTGCTGATGGCTCACAGTATGTGTGTTGAAAGAGAAGGGAACAGGATATCTTATGAAGAAACCAAAATAGAAAGTGGGGCAGGTAGTCCAACTTGGTCATTGATCCCAAAGGACAAGGATGAGAAGGGAAATGCAGCTGAGAAATAAAAGAGTCCAAAGTCAAGAGTGGAAGGCAGAGCTTGGAGAGGTTGTCTGGATGTAGGAACACTTTACAGATTTTATAAGTTGCCTGGACCCTGGCATACAGGCAAGAAGTTCTCAAGGGTGCTTGTCTGGCTCAAGGTGGGAAGGTCAGAGTAGGATGATGAGGTCAGTACATGTCCATATGTTGCCACAGGTTGACTATAAAGATAGAATTTGCCGGGGAATAGGGTGGGGAATACTTTTCTTCTCTCCCATCGATATCAGGCAATTTTCCGAGTCTCTGGTTACTGTCTGTTTCAAACTATTTTTGCTTGGCTATCAAAGGAGTCCAGTTTTCCACCCTTGAGACTTACAGTTTGCTGCTCACACCACAGTGAGAGGGTCCCTTTCAAAACATGTGCCAGCTTGAGTTAGGGCTCAGACTCTCCTGTGACTCTCCACCCCTCCCCTCTCCAAGCCCAAGTCTAAGCCCTTACAGCCGCCCCTCCTCCTGCATCGTCCCTGACCTTGTCTCCTGCTTCTCTCCATTGCTCCGTCCATTGCAGCCCCCCAGCTGTGTCTTTTGTTCCTTGCATATGCCCGGCATGGTCCCATGACAACATCCTTCCCCCACTCTTGCTTCTCCTGCCTGGAAGAGTCCTGCTTGCGGTTAATTTCCTCACCGTCTTCAAGTCTTGGCCCAGATCTCACTTGGTGCTCTAACCACTCTGTTTAAAAGGGCGATTCACTCTCTCTTCGCTCTTCATTCTCAATCCCCCTTTCTCTGCCTCCTGTTTTCTCTTCATATTTATCACCATCTAAGGTATCCTTTACTTATTATGCTTATTTAATTGATTGCCTGAAATAATTTAAAAATGATGGCAATCAAGGCATGGACGCAACCTAAATGTCCACTGACAGAGGACTGGATAAAGGAGGTGTGGTATATACACACAATGGAATATTACTCAGCCGTAACAAGAATGAAATAATGCCATCTGCAGCAACATGAATGGACCTAGAGATTATCATACTAAGTGAAGTAACTCAGAGAAAGACAAATACCATTTGGTATCACTTATATGTGGAATCTAAGATATGACACAGGGACTTCCCTCGTGGTCCAGTGGTAGAGAATCCGCCTTCCAATGCAGGGGACACAGGTTCGATCCCTGGTCTGGGAACTAGGATCCCATATGCCACGGAGCAACTAAGCCCGCGCACTGCACCTACTGAGCCTGCATGCCACAACTAGAGAGAAGCCTGTGCGCTGCAAGGAAGAGCCCGTGTGTCACAACTAAGGCCTGACATGGCTAAAAATAAAAATAAATAAATAAAATTTAAAAATAAGAAAAAATAAATAAAATAAAATATGCTTTAAAATATGACACAAATGAACTTATCTATGAAACAGAAACAGACCCACAGACATAGAGAACAGACTTGTAGTTGCCAAGGGGGAGGGGGCAGGGAGAGGGATGGACGGGGAGTTTGGGGTCGGTAGATGCAAACTATTACATTTAGGATGGAGAACAAGGTCCTACTATATAACACAGGGAACTACGTCCAATCTCCTGGGATAAACCATAACGGGAAAGAATATTTAAAAATAACGTACATATGTGTGTAACTGAGTCACTTTGCTGCACAGCAGAAATTAGCACAACATTGTAAATCAACTAGACTTCAATAAAAATAATTTAGAAAATGGTGGCAATAATTATCGTTCCATTGGAAGGAATACTTTTAGGTGATGGGATAACTTATCTTGAAGTTTACGTACGTTCTGGGAATTTTTTTTTTTTTTTTTGCGGTACGCGGGCCTCTCACTGTTGTGGCCTCTCCCGTTGCGGAGCACAGGCTCCGGACGCGCAGGCTCAGCGGCCACGGCTCACGGGCCCAGCCGCTCCGCGGCACGTGGGATCTTCCCGGACCGGGGCACGAACCCGCGTCCCCTGCATCGGCAGGCGGACTCTCAACCACTGCGCCACCAGGGAAGCCCCAGTATTGCTTATTTTTAAAATCTCTATTTCTTGTCTTTGAAGAGAAAGAGGGGTAAAGAGCATATTTATGCAAACACCCTCCCCAGTAACTAATGCAATATTAACTGAATTTTAAAAATCTCTAGCCAGTGCAAACCCTGCTACCTTGGACAGTTCTGTATCAGGAAAACTTAATGCTGCTAACTGATACATGCATCACGTTTTTTTTTCTTCAACTCAGGGAAGCATAAGCACAATCCTTACTTATTTTCTACTGCTATGAAAATCTAATACAGGGGGCTTCCCTGGCAGTCCAGTGGTTAGGACTCCACGCCTCCACTGCAGGGGGCACAGGTTCGATCCCTGGTCAGGGAACTAAGATCCCACGTGCCATGCAGTGCAGCCAAAATAAACAAATAAATTAATTAAAAAAAAATAAAATACAATCTTAAACAAGTGAGGTCATTAAGTTGAACACATGCAAAAGCAACTCGTGAATGCATCTCATTTCTTTATAACCTAATGAGTTTCCCAATGTATTAATGTGTAATACACAGGTAACTTACCAGAAGGCCGACTCTGGGAGACCCATCACTGTCATCTTAAATTTTTTTCCTTCCTTTGTAATGTTTAATGATGTATACAGAAGGGGAGAAATAAACTACACAAATAAAAATAAACCATTCATTTGTAGTTTCTTCCTGAGAAATGAAAGGGGGTGTCCTCATATTTATTCCAATAACTGATGTCAACTCTTCCATCACAGAACGATTTGTTGTGACCTAAATTGGGTTGCTAATAAACAAATGCATTATGTTAACTATAGAAGAAATACACAAGAAAACCATATTTTGTTTCTTTCCATTTTCATATAGAGGCATTTACATATTTCTATTGGCTTTTTAAAAATATGGTGAGATTCATAAAAAGGAATGAAATGGTGACATTTGCAGAGATGTGGATGGACCTAGAGACAGTCATACACAGTGAAGTAAGTCAGAAAGAGAAAAACAAATATCATATAATATTGCTTACATGTGGAGTCTAGAAAAATGGTACAGATGAACTTATCTGCAAAGCAGAAATAGAGTCACAGATGTAGGGAACAAACTTGTGGTTACCAAGGGGGGAAGGAGAGGTGGGACAAATTGGGAGCTTGGGATTGACATATATCCACTACTATATATAAAGTAGATAACTAAGGAGAAGCTACTGTATAGCACAGGGAACTCTACTCAGTGCTCAGTGCTTCCCTAAATGGGAGGGAAATCCACAAAAGAGGGAATATATGTATACATATAACTGATTCACTTTGCTGCCCAGCAGAAAGTAACACAACATTGTAAAGTAACTATACTCCAATAAAAAATTAATTTTAAACGTTTAAAAATTTTTTTAAAAAATGATGTGTTAGACAGATAGATATAGATGAGGCTGGAGGAATAAACCACCCTCACAGTTCAGGCAAGAGATGCTAATGTCTTGGACAAGTGCTGGTGGCAGAGCTGAAGACAAGTACGGAGATTTGAGCTGAGCATTAACAGGGCTGGATGAGAGCCGGGATGTGATGGGTGAAGCAGAGGAAGTGATCTCTGATAATTCCCCAGTTAAGTGCATGGCTTTGGCATTCACTGAGATAGAGAAAAAAATTTTAAAGACTCGGTCACATTTAGAGAAAAACACCCACACTCAGTTTGGAACATACTAGTTTGAATTGCTTATGGGGCATCAAAGTAAACAGTCAGCTACTTGGGACTACAGCAGAACAAGCCTTGCCCGCCACCCGTGTTTGCAAATAAAGTTTTATTGGACCCAGTCACGCACATTGGTTTATGGCTGCTCTGACATTACAACAGCAGAGCCGAGTATTTGCAGCGGAGACCGTCTGGCCCCCAGAGCCTAGAATATTTGCTATCTGGTCCTTTACAGGAAAAGCCTGCTGGTCAACAAGTCGAAGCAGGGTTCTTGGAGTTACCAGCATGTAAACTGTAATTAAATTTATGCCAATGGATGACATTGTGTAGAGAGAGTATAGAGGGTGGAGAAATATGCCTTGGATAGAACCCTGTGGAACTACAGCTTGAAAGAGGTGGGAGTGTAATGAGGGATAAGATTGCAAGAAGACTGAGGAGGAATGGCTGGAAAAGTGAAAGAGAGCCAGGTGACTCCTGATGTTTAGTTAAAAGATCAAGTAAGACAAGGAAGGAAAGAGTCACTTGTTGATGGACCTGAGAGTCGTTCCTGACCTCAGAAGAATTCATTTTGGTGGTGTGGTGGGAATAGGAATTATAGTGGCTTGAGTCGGGCCTTGAGTGAAGGCAAAATCCTTCCAAGGCGTGTTACAGGTGTTACAGGGAGGGAGAGTATTTGCTTGAGGAGGGAGCACGGATGAGAGAAGGTCTGGGCAATAAGGGAAGAGACTGGTAATTTTAAATACTGAAGAGAAGTATCTAGCTGAAAGGGGGAAGCTGAAGAAGGATGACACGGAGGGGAAAATCCGTTGTGCAACTCTCCTGGTAGTGCTGAAGGGATAATGTTTCCAGCCTTTGAACTGAGGAAAAGGGTGGGCGTAGAGAGGAGTACGGCCATAGTTTGTCAGGGTTTGCGTTGGGAAGTTGGGGAGCGTTCCCATCCTGCAGGTTCTGTTTCCTCTGAGAATGAGAGGCAAAGCATCATCTCCTAAGAGTGTAGGGGTAGAGGGTGGAAGAGGAGGGAGAGACTACAAGTGAGGGAAAGGATACAGAAGATTTAAAATAGGCAGTTACATCTATAATTGCAGCATTAATTGCGGTTTGAAAAGCCACAAACCCTTTTTGCCAGGATGTTGTCAAGGAACAAAAGACTGCATCACGCAGAGCCCAACAATGTTCTTTAAAGAGGAAGAAAAACATTCCCATCATTATGCACTGGAATCAATTCATGGAACTGAAACATTAACTTTGGCTCTGAAGTGAAACACCTAAATGTCTGCTCCAAATCCATGGTTACACAATCTAGAGCATTTCCAAAGCACTCTGCAAGACTGGAAGAAAGAAGAATATTATTAAATGGTTGCCACAGTAGTGAGACTCATTCTGTAACAAAAACTTACCATTAAGTTCAGGAACAAAAAGTATATTACTTCCTTTCTTGATTTTATCAATTTTTCTATCAGTCTTTCCCAACAGGGGATTCCATGAAGAGCAGCAAAACAGATTGGAATCAATTCTCATCTAGTTACCTGAGTATTCAAAGTGTTCTCTCATAACTGGGATTCTATGTCCCCAGCTAAACTTCAGCCAGTATGAGTACGTATCATTAAACACAATTCCCACCATTTCAGAGTAGTTTTTTGCAAGTGCTGTGTCAATGGTTTCTTCATCAGGAGTCCCAACGATTGTTCTTCCTGCCATGTGTAAAAAAAATATAATTAATCATATAAACTTAGTACTAGAGGACACAAAACCAAGTTGCAATTGTTTAGGTTTCCCATAAAATTATTGGTGTTATATACTATCCCAAAGAGGTGCCTCTAAGTTAAGGGCTGAGAGTCTTTCCTATTGTTTTAAGTTCAGTGTGAATACGTGAGAAGGTGTGAATGATACACCACTGAGCCTCAACAGCGGAGGTTTCAACTGCACGGGTCCCCTTATATGCGCATTTTTTTCAAAAGTAACTGCAGTACTACACTACCCAGGAATCGGTTGAATCTGAGGAGGCAGAAAGGTGGGTGGAGGAACCTCAGATGCTGAGGAAACACAGACACAGGGGGCCGACTATAAATTGCTTGGATTTTCGACTTCCTGGAGGGTGGGCTCCCCTAAACCCCCTGTTGTTCAAGGGTCAACTGTATTGTTTTTTAAAAACCAACTGGCAGCGTATTTTTTAGCGTAATCGTAATCCCCATTTAAGTAAATAAAAACTGAGTTTGTGTGCCTATGTGCATAGAGTAATATATGTCTATATATGTGACCATGTGTATGTTTGTGTGCATACAATCCAAAAAAGATACACACAAATTTATAGGGAAGGAAATGGTGGCTAGGATGAGGCCAAAAGCTCTCATTTTTTTGCTTCATACAAGTTTACGTTGCTTAACTTTTTTAGGCTGGCTATTACTTTGGTAATTAAAATAACTTTAAAATTAGAAAGAAAAGGTATTTTAAATAACCCATAAAAATACTTGAGAATTTGGTGGGGTTTTTCCCTGCCAAGATTAGAAACTGATTTCTATCATGTGAAAATAGTATGCCGGTAGAAATAAATTGCATGCAAAGAACCAGAGTACAAAAATCAGAAGTAAAGTTAGAACCCACAGAGATGTTTTTGGAGTCAAGGACACTAACTTAAGAATTAAGCTCACACAACATTTATAATGAATGAGTTTACAATCTGCAGAAGCAATCCACCCAAAAGGTGGTTAATAAGTCTGCTAATAATTTACGAAGTCCAATTTATGGCCTCCTTTTTAATACTGTTTTATATTTGCATGTTTTTTTTTGTTTGTTTTTTTTTTGGGGGTACGCGGGCCTCTCACTGTTGTGGCCTCTCCCGTTGCGGAACACAGGCTCTGGACGCGCAGGCTCAGCGGTCACGGCTCACGGGCCCAGCCGCTCCGCGGCATGTGGGATCTTCCCGGACCGGGGCACGAACCCGTGTCCCCTGCATCGGAAGGCGGACTCTCAACCACTGTGCCACCAGGGAAGCCCTATTTGCGTGTTTTATGTCCTAACACTTTTATTCCTTTTAGCACAGTGTTTAAATCCCATGCAGGGTGATGTCTATGTGAAGAAGAAACAGATACTCATTTTCATAGGGCGGCTGCATCTTTCAAAACTACTCAGACTTCCCAACATAGAGTAAAAGGCCGTGAAGCTTTTATGAGGCCAATGCAAATTTCACTGATTTTTCTCTACAGGTTATACAAATCCTGTCAAGGTCAGAACAGCAAGAGTTAGAAGGATACAGACCGAGACGGTGAAAGAGGCGCTGTGACCAGGCCGGGCTGGCCTGGTAGCTGGCATTGGGTGTTTCTATAAGAAAAGGAGAGAGTCCAATGAGCCCTGAGACTCGGGGCTGGAAGCAGCAGACGGCTTGCTGCGTGCAGCAGAGACTAGTCCCCGAGGCTCGTGTAAGTGCTTCCGGAGTTACGAAGAGATGAGGTCAGGGACCACACGGAGAATGCACGGAGCGCCAGGTCTGGGCAGAATCCACGCGGGGCAGGAGAGCCCGTGCCCAGCGTGGGTGAGCGAGGCGTGCAGAAGTAAGGGTTCCAGAAGCTGCAAATGAAGAAACAAAGAACGGGGCAAAGTGGCCACAGGGGCAAAGTGTGCGGTCATCTAGCAGAGGGTCCAACCTGGTATTCCTGCTCCAACCTTACTTTTTCGGGGCGTGCAACACACGCACAATAATAATGACTCACAACACCACAGATTTCCAGGACGAGAGGGTGGAAGGTGTGGATGCTCTTTAAAAGGCCTCCCGTTAAATCTATTTCCCTTCGAGAGGCGCCCTTACTTGTAGGTCCACAGCAACCCCCCCCACCACGTATGAAATGAGGATCCTGCAGCCAGTTGAAAACCACTAACCCACAGGCTGGGTAAATAAACTCAATTTGCAAAACAAACTTCAGTTCAAACATGAATACGCTGCATGATAGTGAAACGCGGGTCACTGAACAACACGCCTTTCATAAAGGAAGCCAAAGCCATCTTATCCATTATCCTCCGTGTAGGCCACCACCCCCAGATCAAAGTCATTAAACTTATCCACACGTCCCAGAACTTGGAAGAGGCTGTTCATGAAAACGAGTAGCTTTGAAGAGCGCCGAAAAGAAGCACAAAGAGAGCCCCAGAAGCAGCGCTACGGTCCACTCCTCCAGCACACAAAAGAAGAAAAATGAGCCAAGTTATCACGCGGTCCAGAACAGTGAGAAACAGTCAAACACGTTTTAAGACAGAAAGTATCGTCACTGAGCGTGGTGTCAGTTCACCCTCCAACTTTCTTCCTTTCCCAGTTACTGTCTATCCTTTAAAGAGAACACCATTTCAAAAAACATACAACTTTGAGATAATATCAAACATGTCTATTGATCTTAATCTAGAAATACAGCTCCCCTAACAGTAGAACCACTGCTGATTGTATGCCCTCATATTGACGCAATGTAATTACATAGCATCCCATAGGACACATTCTTGTCCAAAGGGTTTAGCCTGAAGTCAAAATCCAAGTTTTTGATCTAGATTCTGTTTTTGCAAGAAATGTAGGTGCTTGTAAATCAACTATACTTCAATAAAAAAAAAAATTGCTTTAATAAAAAATAAATTTAAAAGAAACGTAGATGGGAAAGGAATGAGTTAAATCACAGAATGCAGAAGCAATCAGGTAAATACAGAACGTGGGTATTCAACAAGAGAACAGTTTTGGTCTGGTTGGTGCCTCGCTTGAACAAGCCAACTTTAAGAGACATCTAGGGGCAATTTTAGGAAACTGAATTTGGACACGGAATTCGATGATGCTATGCAATTATTGCTAACTTTGTAAGGTGTACTAGCGGTCATGAAGGAGAATATGCCCTTAATTTTCGTAGATGCCAGCTGAAGCCTTTAGCAGTCCAGTGTCATATATTTTAAGAGGGGAGTTGAGGGGAGATGGGGAGAGGAAGCCAACATGGCAGGATGTTAGCAGGTGGGTGAACAGGATAGGATGTGAGTTCATTGGACTAGCATTTCTGCATTTTGAGATTTTAAACATTATTAATAAGTTTTTTTAAAGGTTACGTTGGGTGATCCCTGTAAGTGTACCCTTTATCAACACAGCCACTAAAATATTAGAATTGAATTGCTTTAGGAGCTAAGGATGGCGTGAACTCAGCTAGCTCCCATCCAAATGTTACTGGCAACCTAAATGGGAAAAGAATTTGAAAAAGAATAAATATATGTCTGCGTATAACTGAGTCACTTTGCTGCACACCTGAAACTGACACAACATTGTGAGTCAACTATTCTTCAGTATAAAATTGAAAAAAAACATTAAAAAAAATAAAAATAAATTTTTAATAGAAAAAAGAAATGTTATTGGCTATTTTTCAACAGAACACAGCCTCTCTGTGGCCAAGGTGGCCCCCAGATAGACCTCATGGGGACATACAGCAAACATCTTTCTCCTGATGTGCACGTCCTTATACTAGAAACTAAAGAGAGCGCAAAGATGCTGACAATCAGTGATCTGGATCCTGAAACCACTCTTATGTTCGTAAAAGCACAGTCTTCAAAACAAATCCCCCCAAAGTTCTCTACTGTTGCTCATAATTTTTTCCCCCAGCCCTACCAATTAACAGAATCTTATCAAAATGTCCCCAGTAGAGTGCTATGATTCAACCATTCAAATCTATTTCATTTTGCCTGGCTTTTTAAAATTTCTTTTTTTCCTACTACTGAAGTTGGCCCAGGGTAAGTCTGAATCACTCCACAGATTCAAGTGGATTACTTATTTGGAGAATGGCTAGCTCTATTCAATGAAATTGTCACTTACTTTGTTTTTCAGGAACTGACATATGAGCCCATTAGTTAATTTTACCTTTTGACATAAATATTATCCTATTCTGCGACATTTGCAAAATATTATGTTTACAACCCCAAATCAACTAGCCCATAGGATGCGTGAACATCAAAAAGCAATAAAAATGGCATACTATGAAATGATGGATTTTCATTCACTAAATATGGTAAAATATATATTGTGAAACATACCAATAAGCTCTCTTTTTTCATTCTCCATGTTTTAAGAAAATTCTTAGACAGAAGGGTCTGAGTTTGTTGACACACGTGCCTCTCTTTTTTAATCATTTTGTCCTGTTCATCAAGAGAAGAGACAGTAAATATCACACAGCAACAACCAGGCAAGAAAAAGAGCAAAAAAAAAAAAAAATCCAGTTACCAAAAAAAGCTTCTGAACACTTTGAAAACATACTCCCAGATGCCCTTGTTGAATGCCTTATTTGACATTACAGTAACACACGTTCACTAGTTTTTAAAGAGTATAAAATATTAATGAATGTAAAATATCCTGCCTGTGGGCCTTTCTCTCCAGGCTTTGGTTATGAGCTAGATGAGGGCTATAGTGTGTCTTGTCTCAAAAGTAAAGTTTTCTGCCCCATCTTGACATTACAACAACCTAGAGTAAATAACTAACACAACATCATAAAGCAACTATACTCCAGTAAAAATTTTTAAATAAAGATAAAGTAAATCGGAGAATAAAATGTTAGTAATGTTTAGAATCCAAAACAGACTCTGCCCTTGACTTAGTTTTTTTAAAAAAAGTTATAACAGAAATAAAACCATCTCCAGTTTTCTGTCCATCAGAGACTTGTCCACAAGCAGCAGTCTGCACTTTGAAAGGGCCGCTTTTGCATGCTTATTTGATGACATCTAGGAAACCACTGAGTAAAGGAAAGCTGGATCACTTTACAGTCATTCTTGGAACCCCAAAGAGCTCATTTCTCCTCTTTAAACTCATGGGTCTCCCTTTAAGAAGTAAGTATGTCAGATACATACAGATGAAAACAGAAACATCGGTTAGCTAGTATGATTGGCGTATATGATATGTGTAGAATCATGATGGGTAACAGGGATCCTTCTGTGTTTTCAATTTAAAATTCCGGAGATGATCATTTGGTGTCACAGCTCTGGTGACTTAAACGCATTCGAATAAATGTTGACGTTATATACAAATTACAATGTTTAGAGAACTTGCTGGATTTCCTTTTTTTCTGATAAAAAGCTAAAGCTACCAAATACCAGAACCATCTCTAAATTCTAATGTGAGAAAGTGTCTAAGGAAAAACACCCATCTTCATGAAAAAGAACCCACAGGGAGAAGCAACTTGTCTTAACGCACACACATTTGCAAGAAGTTAAACGGCCAACCTGAGAAGTGTAAATCTGACACTCAACAATATTAGTTATATTTAAACGCACTTCTGAGTCTATCTTCCGTTTTACTATCGTGCTAAAATACTATTTTACTGAGTTTAAAAAATTAAATCACTCATTAGGTCTACAATATAAAATACAGAACAATTTAGAAATATCAGAACAATATGGTAATTTAACAATGTCAGGCAAGATGCTTGGCACTGGCTATGTCCTTTGTGCCTTAATTACCTTATACAGAGTAAAAGGTAAAAACAACAAGTTTGACTTACTGTCAGGAAAACAGGAGTGAGGAACTGAGAAGCACCTTTGATTCACTGGTTGCTTTTTGTCCAGAAGAACAGTTAAGAATCCTTCAAGGACTTTTTCACAAATGCTTGCCTCTTTTAAAGCTGTCTTCATTCAGTTTGGCTTCTGAAAACAGGCCATGGTCTGTGTGTAACAAGCCTGCCAAACACATTCTTTACTTGATAAGTTGATTTTTTTCTCAGGTCTTTCTTCTAGTCCAATTGTGCCACAGGAGGGATGCAGCTGTGGATTGGTCCCTAAGTGTGTGTCACGTGGTATTTGTTTATTACTCTACCTTTCTGGCATATGCAAAAAAGTGATCAGATTCAAAAAGGGAGAAACAAAACCCCCAGTTCTGAGTAAGTCTATATTAACTTTGAATGATTAAAAATTCAACAGCCACCACAAGAAGGAGCAGATTCAAAAGAAAGGACGTTGAACAGAGAAAGAAAGTGAGGCTCTCAGAAATCAGAGTAATTTACAGGAGAAAACTTTACCGAAGACTTCACTGCACCTCAGTGAAGTGGCTCTTTGTTCTGGCTGATTCCTATGTGCTAGAAGGTATGTTAGGGGTTTAAAATGAATTATTTTATTTACCCTCAAAGCAAAGCTGTGAAGTTGGTACTATGTTTGTACACAGTTCACAGATTCGAAATGCGAGACTGAAAGTCGAAGTAATTTGCAGATGCTCAAATAAAGGCAGAGCCAATATGTGAGTCCAGAACAGTGTCTGGACTCCAAACCCACTCACTCTTAACTACCACTGTGAAAATTATGCTAATAAAAACAACGATATCTAACATTCATTTAAATAGCTTAATAGTTTAGACTAGATGGGCAGAATTTTTTTTTTTTTTTTTTAGCTACAAATGCTGGACGTTCTCAGAATTTAAATAACCCCTGTTTATCAACCCTGAAAATCTCCTTACACGATTTTAACTGTAATCAATACATTTCTCGGGATGTGTACACAAGTTAATAACCACTCATGAAAGTGAAGGACAGAGAGAGGGTGAAGCACACTCAGAGGCTATTCAGGTGATCACCGTTTTCATGAAGAATATGGAGATAGGGCTTCCCTGGTGGCGCAGGGAATGCAGGGGACGCGGGTTCGTGCCCCGGTCCGGGAGGATCCCACATGCCGCGGAGCGGCTGGGCCCGTGAGCCACGGCCGCTGAGCCTTCATGTCCGGAGCCTGTGCTCCGCGGCGGGAGAGGCCACAACAGTGAGAGGCCCGCGTACCACAAAAAAAAAAAAAAAAAAAGAATATGGAAATAAATGTTTTCTTTGACTTTAATTGCATCGCCTCCCTGTTGTGAGTCACATTTCTCTTCTGGTTTTCCCACTCGTTGCTTGAGGTAAAAGTCCATGAACCAGAAAACACCAAATATTTAACCTAGCTCCAATCCCAGACATTATTGACAACATTTATTTTAACGGGTGGAAAAAACAACTAAAATTATATCATAATACACACACACTTTCTTAGTAACTAAACTGAAAGGATAATTTTTCTATTTCTGTAACTTTAAGGATTGTAATCTCCAGTATGGTGCAGTGAAGCGGTTACAGGGTTAGGAGTCTGAGGCCTACGTTCCAAGCTGTCGCTCGCCGGCTACGTGCCTTGGACAGGTGACAAAAAATCCACAGGCCTCTGTTCCACGTTTATAACAGGAGCCAACCTCTTCTGTTCCAGGCCTCTGTGCATTGATGACGGTGCAGCACTGCTACAGGGTCACAATGCTTACATCCTCCAAACTTGGATTTACGCATGACCATGCTACGTGACGTTAACCCAGCCCCCTCAGTACACGTCTCAGATATCTAATTTTTTTATATTTCTTTTTTTAGTTGAAGTATAGTTGATTTACAATATTGTGCCAGTTTCACATGTACAGCAAAGTGATTCCATTTTATATATATATATATATATATATATATATATATATATATATTT